AAATTATAAATAATCAATTAATATTTTTTTTTAGCCTCTCCACAAAGGGGCACCTAGGCTTGGCTTAGGTTGTGTTTGATTGGGCTTTAAGGGAAAATCTTAAGAGAAATACAAACAATTTTAGGGTAAAGTAACTTTGCCTTAAATGGTGTTTAAAAAAATCACATTTGTAAATGAATCTTGATTTTTTTTTTTAAGATTGAACTCAAACACTTTGTCGGCTCCGGTGGAGAGTTCAGGTTACCGATAAGCCAGATTTGGCTATGAGGGGTCGTTGGCGCCAAATATGGCTCGCCCGGGGTTAGATTTGGCGTCGTTGAGACGTCCCACGATTGAAAAAGGTCAAGGTAGCAAGGGCAAAATAATGTGTTAGCATTCGGGAAATGTTAAAGTGCAAAACTCCTATTGACCTGCCTTGGACTAGATAACTTTAGAGGGTTTTGGAAATGCAATTGCATTTTTCTAAAGCTCTCTAAAAAAAATTGCCAAACGATATTTGCATTTTCTCAAAAGCCCAAAGGCCTTTGCTAAAGTGGTTGTCAAATGTAGTCTTAGTGATTCTACAAAAAAATAATATCTTTTAAATCATGGACGGATTTAAATAAGGGACTTCCAGGTCCATCGCCCGTCCTAAACCCTCTCAACCCATCAATGGACCAATTCTACTTTTGAGCTCTTGCTTTTATTGCTTGTACAAAAGGGTTCCAATTTCATTGCTTCTCAATGTTGGCATAAGAAAGATCACATGTAAAAAAACAAAATCAGCCCAAAAGCTTTTCTTTTCCCATTTTTTAACCATTTTTCTTTCAGAGGAATTCAATTGGAACCCAGAATACGTGAATTGAATTTAAAAGGGATATGTAGAATAAAAGTCCTAAATTGTCACGAAAGTACAATTGAGTTCTAAACCTTGCAAAAAATGCACTCAAGTCACAAAATTTATTAAATTGCTGCAATCAAGTTCTTTTGTTAATTCCGTCTAACTTCATTAATGGAAAATGCTAACGTGACTTTTTTTAATATTTTTTCTCTCTTACGTAGCGATGACATAGTCAAAACGACATTGTTTTGATCCAAATCTATTTTTTTATACATATTTTATTTAAATTAAAGTAAGCGGAAGGCTGCAAAGCCCTCATCGCCACCACCCCACCATCGCCGAGAAGGGCAGGAGATGGTGGGGGAGTGGTCAACGAGGGTTGCGGGCTCTCGCCTAGTTATGGTCGGGGGTTGGCTACCACCCTCGCTAGCGGTGACTATGGGCCAGAACTTGGCAAGGTTGCGGTCGACGAGTCCGGTGACCCTTGTCGACCACTATGATGGCTCAGTCTTCGTTGCTTGAACTCCAACTCTCCCTTCTTTGATGTTTTTTAAATTTAGATGAATTTTTATTTAATTTAAATAAAATTTATATAAAAAAGCAAATTTGGACCTAAACAATGTTGTTTTGGCTTTATGTTTCATGTTTAGCCATGTCATCGCCACAGAGGAGAGAGAAAATATTAAAAAAAAAAGCCACGTTAACATTTTCCGTCAGTCAAGTTGGACATAGTTAACGAAAGGACTTAATTACACCAATTTGACAAGTTTTAGAACTTGATTGCGCTTTTTGCAAGTTGTATGACTTAATTGCACTTTCATAATAAGTTTTAGGATTTTCAGTGCACATATCCCAATTTAAAAAATCGCATCTAATCACTAATATGAAGTTCCATTGGATTAGTTTCATAGACATTCCCATATAGCGCCAAAATAAATGAAAGAAAATCATCTGAATCGGTTATTTCTCGTGCCTAATGGTCTCAATAACCTTCTTCGATATAAAAGGAAGCTTCTCATATGGGGCTGTCAAAATGGGTCAGAAACCTATATTCTAACCCACATTTATTTAAATGGGTCACCTAAACTTTAAAGTATGGGTCATAATGGGTTTTAAAGTTAAAAGCTAAAGACAAATGGGTTTTAGTGGGTTGTTTATAAACCCACTTTCAATCCATTTAATAAATAGATCAGGCTTAGCCACTTTGCTCCTTATTTGCCGGTCTCTTCTCTCTCCTGCTCCGATTGGGTGACTTGCAACCTTCTCCGTTCATTCGATCTACTTCTGACATCGTTAGGTAGTCTTCAACCTCTGGCTCACAATTTCACACTACTATGACAAATTGCACTTCTAAGGAAACCCAAACTTTCACCACCACCTTCACGCGCTTGTCCGTAACCCAATTCCCGAACTCCCTCACTAACTTGAAGATTCAGTACATGGAGCAACTCGTTCTTCAAAAGTAACAATTTAACGAGAAAAGTTGCTAAAAATAAATTCCGGGTCGAGTTACTAAATTTGCATTTGATGTAAATTGGTCAAAACAAATTAAATGAATTAATTTGGGCCGCACCATTTTTGACCCATCTCGATCCATACCGATTGATGGGTCTACTCATAGGATATTAATTGAAAAGTTTTACGAGTCAATTGTCCAATCGAAAAGATTTATGATTGAATCGGTCTTCGTACATAGATTTTAGGACTTCTAGTACATTTATATACTACTAAACACGCAATCCCACATCGCCAAACGCTCCTATCAAATTTTGCATGTTTTCAGGAGTGGCAAAATGGAGAATTGGATGGCGTTGGGTAGAGGCAGACCAACTTTCTCCCGTCCGAAAGTTTAAGAGAAAAGTTGTGCTCTTCTGAATGTTGTTCTTTTATTTTTTTTATTGGCTAAAAGGCTTCCTTTAGATATTGATAATTCGCTTTTTTATCCTAAATCCAACTTTAATGAGTGGAAAGCTGGAAAGAACACGCCATTCAAACTTCAAAGTTCCATTGAAAAGCGAAAAAGGAAAAAAAGAAAAGAAAAAGAGAATAAAGATAAAAGTTCTTAGTCCACGGCTCTAAACATCATCACATACGCTGCATCCACATATGATGTGAATTTTATTAAAAGATGCCCTCTTTCGGGATATTTGTTAAAACTTATAATATTTTTTTTATTATTTCTAATGCATTATATTTTCGTGTTATGTGTAATCCATGCATTGATGAGATCATAGATTTTATGATAAAATGCCTTTTCTTGGTTGATTCATGGCATAACGTACCACTTCCGATTGCTTGATCTCGATAAGGGATTGCCGACTTCTCTACGAGAAAATTACATTCATAGATTACGGTTCTTAAAATTTGACCACCTTTTGTGGTTTGGCGCCTAAACTAAAAAAAAAAAATCGAGGTACTAGTCTCTCGGTTATGGGTTTTTGCCTACGACGAAGCCAAATCACGGCACAATTACCTCGATTGATACATAGAGAAGATCAAACTAATCATAAAATAACCTAAAATTATAAAGTTGCCCGTCAAGTGGAGCTACCTAGTGCTTGAGTAACCTTTCTTTTCTTGATCCGACGACACTGAAATGAAGATTTAGAGGGTAAAATCTTTTAAGTCCTTTAATTGCAAAAATTATCAAATTACAGGGACTGAATCTGCTATTTCTCTTTAATCTTTTTGCTTTTCAAAATCACAAAAATGCCTCAAAAATAATCATCCCCTGTGGCCAAAATCATCACCTTTCTTTTGGAGGAAGAGGAGGTGTTATTGTCAAGAGAGCTCCCTCCCTCGCTGTCCATCCATTTGGCACCTGATTCCCTTAAAAAGTACTCCTAATTATTATAAAATGTCTTCTAAGATTAGTTTATACTTAACCTTTGAGGACTATCCATTCTGGTGTGCTGGTAATCTGATGAAATTGGAACCGACCAACCCACCAACAGCATTTTGCTTTTGCTCCCCTACTTTACTTTCAATAACTTAATACAGACTCGACCTTGTATATACACTTTCGCGTACCTCTAAAACATTTGTTAAGTATTTTAAATAGAGGGCAATAATTTACATATCATAAGAAAATTATGATGTAATTGCGAGCTTATTTTTTTTACCTTTCAATATTGTAATATCCTATTGAAAATGTCGATTTGATACTTAAGGCAATCGGTTAAAATTTCTTTGATCACGTATAATTTAACAAATCGATCAATTAATGTTTGAATCGCGCTCTTTTTTAATATTCGATCAAACTTTTCCACACCATCCATCTACAATAAGTATGTTAATCTTTTTAGGAAGTTTTAGTATGTTTACATTTTACATTTTCTCAAAATACATCTACGTTGCATGTCTCGCTCACTTGGAACTCGCCGATTCGATTAAAGACTTTATTTGTAATATATAAGGTGATTACAACGAGCATACCTTGAAAACAATGACTGGCATATCTGTTTAATGTTAGTCAACTTAGTTCCAAGATGATGACAACAAGTAACAAAGCCCTGTTTAAATTTGGCCGTATTCGAATAATGGTTAGAAGATACACGAGCAACCCATTCAATGCATAAGAGCCGTTAAATTACATGTTGCCTTAACTAGGCGTACTTATTAAGGTGACATGATCTATCTTGGTCAAAGTTTTCTCGAATCCTTTAAGGCTTTTATGTACCGTGCTGGTTTCGGATTGCGTGATACTTATTTATCGATGCAAACTTTCAATGTGTTTTAGCAGACGTGTATGAAGTCTCATAATATGGATCTCGACACTCAATTCTTAGGTAATGGAATTCGAGATGCTCACGAGACGACGGCTACATGCACTGATCTCACATGAATAGCCGATGTATTTGAAGCCTCACAATATGGGTCTTGATGCTCGGTTTTTCGATAATGAATCTTGACATGCTCATGACTCGACGGTCCGTCTGTATCGATCTCGCATGAACCGGGCTGGCCAAGATTGATTTTGGAGGACATAGAAGAGGGATCAAACTGGCGAAGACATCGAAGGCGGCGTAAAAAGCGAAAGACCCCCAGCGTCGCTTTTTGTCCCCCACTTTTTCCTTTATCTTTTGTCAGAACCCTTTTTCTTGGCTTTTGTCTTCTCTCTTTCTCACGTCACCATCGCTCAACGTTAGCCACTACTCCTCCATGGAGATCAAACGAACGAACCCCCCCTTCTCCCCTCTTGAGAGCTGACTCGGATGCCCCCTGGCATCAAATCAAGAACACCCCCCTTCGATCCTCGAGAGACACTGTGCGTAAATCAATGCAAAAGGTGGGGAAAGCAAAAGAAGCAAACGGGCCCGGGTTAAAGACGCAAGAAAAAGAAAGGGTGGGGTGAAAAAGAGCTTTTTCTTGAAAACCAAAAAGGGAGCAAAAGGGACCAACTTTGTCTTTGTTCCCTCACGTTTTCTGTGCTCGTCTCTCTGGGATTTTCCTCTTTGCGGGGGCGGAGGGCTTTTAAAGTTTCTGGGTCGCCTCAAAAGCGCATCTTTGCTTCCCTCTTTAACGAAAGCGTTCGGACGGGGGTTTCTTGACGGGCTATGGTTTTGGCATTGAGGGTGCGCGAGAGAGATTCTGCGGAGAAGATGCGCGGCGGAGGCTTTGAGTCCGAGAATAAAGATCCGGGCATCAAGCTCTTCGGGAGGAATATTCCGGCGCCGGAGTGTCAGATTCAGGCGGGTTCTGCTGGCGGCTCTCGGGCTCTCTCGGGCTCTGAAGTGACGACGGTACAATTCTTGCTTTTGCCCAGCTCTAGTGAAGCTAAGCTCGTGTCAGTGCTTGTGGTTTGTTTCGTGTTCTTGGGTGTTATTGGTTCGATGTGTTGGCTCTGGTTTATGAGTGTTTGCAGCTTTAGCTGAACCTCTTTGGTGGTCCGAGAATACGTGCTGTTGTGCTGTTTCTTGCTTTTAAAGGAAATGGAGATGTAAAAGGAAAAATTGAATCGCTTGCTGAAAAGTTCAACGTTGTTGGGTTCGCCATCTTTTGGTCTCTTTCTAGTGAATTAGCCTTTTCGTTGTGTCATTATGCTGGATTAGAAGATTTTTCTGGTTGTATATTGCTGTCGAATGACAATTAATCAGTGTTCTGCTGCATCTATTTCGTGAGCCTTATACTTGCACAGCACCAAAATGCAATAAAAATCGGCTCGGTCTCTGTTCTTTTGTTTTCTGCACAATAGAATGACTGATGATTTTTTTTTTTAATATGTGGTGCCATTTGCCAACTGTTCTCACCCATTAAAACCAATTCTGTCAAGTTCCAAAAGTATTCAGACTTGGTTAAACAGCATGGTTGCCTAGAGTGTCGACGGTCTTTTAAGTGAACATTTTAGTAAATATATGTAGATGATTAGTCCTAGTTCCACCAAAAAACCGTTGATTTACTGGACATCCAAAACATGGGGTTTTGAGTGACCTGTGAACTTAATTGGAAATCGTTCTGCTTAGTCTATGAATTCTTGTGCTATCAACAAACTTGTTTTCCTGTCATTCATTTCTGCCATAGTGGAATTTCCTGCTTTAATTGAGTTCAAGACTTGATTATAATTTGTTCTGAGATACTAGAAAAAATTACTGTGCAATTATTGACAAACAAAGAATTGGATGCAATTATTATCATACAATTGTTGGAAGTTATTGACATTTGCCGCTTTTGCTTTATCTTCTTACAAATACTTTCTCGCGTTTCTGGTTATTTCTCTTTGACATACTTAGTTTAGACGAGGTCAATGCTTTATGTTGTTCTAATTTGGTAATTTTCAGCATGCCTGTAGTGATATTGCAAAATCAGAAACTGTCAAACATGGACATCCTCATAATTCAGCTGTTGGTGGAGAGAAGGCCACCATAATGCAGAATCTTCAAAATGGCCGTGCAGAGACTAAGTATGCTGACCAAGAAAAGGTTTTCAAGAAGCCTGACAAGATCCTTCCGTGTCCTAGATGCAACAGTCTTGAGACAAAGTTCTGTTATTTCAACAACTACAACGTCAATCAACCTCGACACTTCTGCAGGAACTGCCAGAGATATTGGACAGCTGGGGGAACGATGCGAAACGTTCCAGTCGGTGCTGGACGGCGGAAGAACAAGCACCTGGCCTCTCAATATTGTCAAGCGACTCTATCTTCCAGTAGCACACTAAACACTAGACTAGACATTCCTGAGACGGCGGTGAACCATCAGTTTATGGCACCGAAAGAAATTACGTCAACAACACTCGGGCCTTCAGTGGGAAACGGGAGAGTATTGAAGTTTGGTCCTGAGGCATCTTTATCCAAATCTGTTGAGACTGTTCTTAGTCTCAAAGACCCAAAGATATCCATTGAGACAGGTTCTATCAATTGTGTCCAAACTAGAGAAGAAGCTTCCTCATCTGGTTCTTCCATGACAGCTTACAGTATTCATGATTCGACCAAGAGTGCTGCTGAAAATGAAGAACTAGGGATATCGGGATCTCGTCGCGAGCAGAATTCCCTCGATCCTATGCACTTTTACCCTGTTCCTGCATGTTTTATCCCCTTGAACGCAGGTTGGCAACATCTAGCTTCTTTTAGGACAACTCAGTACTCTCCTGAGCAAGTTGCAGGTGTTGCTAGCCCTAATTCCGTTCATTTGAGCCCCACACCCATGTTAGCGGTTCCTGGTGTTTGCCCTCCTAGCATTCCCTTACAAATTGTACCCATGGCATCGTATTTTGGTTGCATGCCTATACGCACCTCCGGGCTGAGCGCCACACCATCAAGTGGAATGAACAGTGGCCCATCATCATCATCTCCATCTTCCCCAATGGGCAACACATATTGCTCTGCAAGTGGCTCACCGACCCTTGGCAAGCACTCAAGAGACTCAAATGTTGCAGATTTTGAAAGATCAGATAAGTGCGTCTTGGTTCCGAAGACACTGAGGATCGATAACCCAATCGAAGCTTCAAAGATTCCTATATGGGCGACGCTGGGTATTAAGCCAGGTAAGTCTAAAGTGGAAAATGACCTCAATGATTCGGATGCCACACACATAATTGAGGTGAACCCGGCTGCATTTTCTCGGTCTCAAACATTTCAAGAGAGCACATAAGAGATTGTAATGAACTTGTTGGCTGTGACCTTGTGACACTGATGTCGTGATTCAGTCATCTTGTAAAAGCTGCTGGGTATGCTCGCTGCTTCCCATTTTGCAAACTTGATCTGTAAATATTCATGTGAGCTGGATTGAATGAAAGGTTTCAATAACATCCAAAGCATCTGTTGTTATTGTCAATCAGGGAAAAATGCAGTTTGTGTACTTGTGTAGCATGTGCTCCGTCTTGAAGCTTGAAAGCAGTGGGAATTGTTTCCTCTCCTAAAGATACGACTGTCTTTCTGGATCAGCAATGTTGCAGCTCTACATAAAGCTAGTTAATCATTACTCAAGAAGTATGATAGAGGCAGTGGCTGCTGGTTTATTCATTTGAATACTGATCGGCTTAGCTTGCTTAATCCCGATCTCAATGCTATCAGATTCTCTTTCTTGAACTCTTTCTGCAGATCAACTACTTGACATTAGCTTATCGTGACTGGCCTCAACCAGATTGGCATGGAATGACTACGCCTCATGGGCGGCCGTCATTATTGGCCAGGGTTGCTTACTGCAATTCCTTTAGGTATAATCCTGACATTTGTAAGACCGGATCCTTCAGTGCATCACATCTTTGTGCTGCCAACAATTACATAAATCACGTACGCCTTTCAATTTACTGCAACTTCATTGAAATGAAGTTCTGAAAAGAACATGATGCAGACTGGGCTCTTGGTTAAATTTCTGTCTAGTTTGAAACTCTGGACACTAACATTGTGAATCAGAATGCAATGCAACTTAGGTTATTTTGGGTTCTCTCTCTTTCTTTTTCCTTCCAAAATCGAAAACTGGCGTGTCCTGTTCAAGCTTTACTGGAAAAGGGAATGGCGGGGTGCGATAACCCGGGATATTCCCTGCTTCCTATCCTCAATTACTTGAAGACTCTGACTCGTGCGGTTTCAGATTGCATCACCGGATGGATTCTTCGGTGTACGAGGCACCGCAAAACAGAGCGGTGACTGACCAGCGGTTCGGCATTTCTCCTGCGCAAAATTTGCAGACAACGTCACGACTCTTGAGTTGGAGACATGGAATCGGACAGTAACAATGTTGTGACACTCCAAAATGCGACGGGCAAAGATGGGCTTCCAGAGCCCGTTTGTGCACGAGCGCATTGCACGACAAAATCTTACGTTATCTTGTGATGCTCTCTACTGCAAGCACTAGGACAAAAGAGAAACGCCCAGTTGACGAAACTTTGCCTGGATCAAAACCACCCCCGGTTTTAATGATCTTCATCAGCTCAAAATCGAGGCCTTGTCGGGTCAACGTCCAAAGCCAGCCTCAGTTTTATCTCCATCCACTCGATGCGCATCGAGAGACCTCCAATGATCTCCATCTACTCGAATCTCGCGACCCTGACGAGCTTCTATCCTTCCGCAGATCGGGATTCGCCCGGATCAAGTCATTAAGAAGACCCTGATTCATCTTAAAGGGGTCAAGTTGGCGAACATCAAAAGAATACACAATTCTGTCGGTACAGCAGTCAAGACCTCAAAAGGTGTCGTCGAAGTGCATCAGCTGGATCCAAGTCGGGAGACGAACTTCAAGAGCATCGTGTTCAATCCAAGATTTTGTCATCAAGACCTAGATGACTTGAGTATTTTCTCTATAATTTTGAAATAAATGTTGTAGATTCACATCCGTTGATATTAATAAAGTTCGCCGCGAATGTTGCCCTTTAAACTCAAAGTCGCGACGGTTCATCACCGGGGTGAGTCGAGAGAAATGAAATAATAAAAGATGGAGGAAGATGAACTCGAATTTTAGAGGACCGAACGCACCTAAAATTTTTAACCCTAATTACCAAGTAAAACCGAATTTTTTTTTTAACGCAAAGATTACTCAAGTGGTAACCGTTTTTGCGCTTCAAGCTTGGGTTCGAATCATCAGACTTAGCGCGTTCTCTTTGGCAAAGAGTAGGGGTGTCAAAACCAAATACAATACCCGAACTGAAACACGAACCGACCCGACCCGAACACGAAATTTTCTTATTGGGTCGAGTTGGGTCTCGAGATGACCCAAAGAGTCTTTGGGCCATCTCGAGGAGCACATGTGCGTTCCTTCCTTAATTTAAGGTATTTTACCGGGTCTTATTATTGGATCCGATTCATTTCCGTGGGATTTTGATTCACGAAACGCATCTCGATTTTTCTCTTGGTCGTGACATATCTCGATTTAACAACTACGATATTGACTATAAATTGCACCACATGCCAAGAGGTTAGCTCTAGGGGGGTCCCTGCCACCACCCTGTTGGGTCGATTAATGTAGTTACATTTTTGCGTGAAAAGTACCAAAAAAGTCCAAAATCTATCGCATTAATACAAATTTAATCTATTTTGCTAATTTAGACCGGAAATTGCTGACGTGGATGCCGGCCGACCTACATAGCACGACTGGTGCCGACATGAATAAATCCTTAAATTTTTATTACTTTTTTTATATTTATATTTATATTTATTTTTCTTCCCTTTCTTTTTTTTGTGCGCCAACGAGCTCACTGGCCGACCCTCGCTGGCCACAAACGAGGTTTGGGCACGCCCTTGCCAACCATAGTGGGCATCAGGCCCCCGCCCAAATCCAAGCGAGGGCCGCGAGTTAAAGGTTTTGATGCCCTCGCTTGGTATGGGCAAGGTTGTTGCGGCCCTTGTCGGCCAACAGGCGAGGGTGTGGCCCTCTCCCAAACCTCGCTTGAGGTCGACGAGGGTCGTTGGTGACCTCGGCAGCCCATAGTTGAGGAAAAAAAAGAAAGAAAAGAAAAAAAATAAGAAAAAACAATGACAAAGTGATAAGAAATTAAAAAAAAATTAAAAATTTCGAAAAATTGTTCATGTTAGTGCTGACCGTGCCAAGAAGGACGGCTAGCATTCACATCGGTAATTTTCGGCCTAAATTGACCTGGGATGGACTGAATTGGTACCAACGTAAAAATATTTATAAATATATTGATACAATTAAAAAAAAATTTAGGACTGAATTTATATCAATGTAATAAGTATTGGATTTTTTTAGTACTTTTCCCTATTTTTTTTTGGCGTCTTATTTTTAATAAATCTTATCAATCAATCGTATATCCTCGGCATTATTTAGAAAATAAGAAAAAGGTACACTTTGGAAAAAATTAATTCGAGATGGAATGAAGAACTGTTTTGAGAAAACATTGATGGTCCATCACATTTATGTACTTTTGTCTATGTACACATTATTGGTAAAGTTTGGGTAACATTTATTGTCTTGGAATGGATATCATGTTCAATTAATAACATCCAATTTCCTTCCAAAGGAAACGACGAATAATTATTTGAAATATATATGTGAATATCCTATAGCAACTTTTCTTTAGAGGGGTAGTTTTCCTTTTGTGATATGAAGTCTCTGGATCCCGTAGTTTGTAATATTTCGCAAAAATCAATAGTTTTCCTAAAATCACATTAAATTTCTTGTGTCGGCGTTCATAAAATATCTGATCGATCGTAGTTTTTCTTTGCAATTCATGAAAGTTTCACAATCCATTGTCGCATACCGCAACTTCTCATGATCAGGCATAAGTTTTGATCATCTTTCCGTCCGAAATTTTCCCTTAACACGAATAAGTTGCGAGAGAGAAAATGGATTTCGCCAAATCGATTTGGTAGGCCACGTTTTTTTTAATCCCTTTTTATCCGCCGATCTATATTGAATACGAAGCTCGCTTCGGATAGTAGAAATTCCCATTAAAAGTGCAAAGTGTTGACTGGTGTGTGTGTGTGTGTGAGAGAGAGAGAGAGAGAGATCACGGTCATACAGAGTGTCCCAGAAAAACCCAACGAGTGCCTTCAAAAGTCAGGAAAGATGAGCAGGTTACATTCACAGGTCAGTTAAAACAATCACGAGGATGGGTTAAAAAGACGGATCTTTTGGGCTCTCTTTTCTTGGATTTTTTCAACCTATTTTTGTCCTTCCAGATCCTCACCACAGCACCCTCAACAGTCAACAGATTAATCAAATCAAACCAGTCTCCCCCCCCTCAGTTCACTAATCTTTTCAGGCTCATTTGCTCTCTCTCTCCCTCTCTCTCTTCTCTTTTCTTTTTTCTGTTTATGGAAAATTACTAGCCCTGTACAATAAAAGAAACTGGAAGATTGGCCCTTTTGCAGCAGCAGCAGCAGGCATGTTGTCTCTTCACATGCTGTATTCAAGATTCAACCCAAATAAGGGGTCGTTCATCGGTTACTAAATGAGGAAACCCCAAGCAGAGCAGACCATCTCTCATGGGCCTTTTGTTTCCCCCTCTCTTCTTCTGTTTGATGTTCTTTGGCTTCTGCAGTCTCTTCAGTTCAGTCACTCTCTACCCAATGAAATACCGAGAGAGTGGGGGCGCCCTCCACTGACTTTCAAGTAGCTCCCACTCCCAGAAAATCTATGAAGCTTGTTGGGGTGCTCATCTTGTTGCTATTGGTGGTGGTGGTGGTGGCGGTGGCAACTGATTCAGGGGCTGAGACTTCGGAGTTTGAATCTGATGAACTGCCAGAGTTGTGATAATTATGATGATGGTCCAGACCCCTTGTGTCGATCACTACTGGCCCTGGGAAATGGAAACCATTTCGAGAGAAAGAGGACTTGTCAGAGGTCACATTGTCCGCCACGACTGTCTTCTTGCCAGATGAACCTGAAAACCAAAATGCATTCATTATTAAAAAGGAAAAGAATCAGCTTATGCCAAAAAATGGGAACACTTCATGACCAGACAAGACACCACAACATTCAAAATAGTATTAAAAAAAAAAAACAAAAGGAGATGCAAAAAATGGCATATCATTTTGCTTCCTAATCTCACCAGAGAAGAAGGCAGGAGAAGACATAGCCGAAGAGGGAGTGAGGGAGAGATCAGTGCAGGTAGAGTCAGATTCATCCACATTGCTCGAGAGGGTCGTCGAAGAAGAACGATCGAGCCCCTTGGGCAAGGCTTGAAGATGATGTTCAACGTGGCGATGATGGAGATGAGAAGGTGGCTTTCTCTTCCGGTACACATTGGACTGCTCTCTCTGCCTCCTGGCCATGATCACATGCCAGTGATTCTTGACCGCATTATCGGTCCGTCCGGGAAATAACCGGGCAATCATGGCCCATTTGTTCCCGTACACCTTGTGAGCGGCCAAGAGCCTGTCCTCTTCTTCCTCGCTGAAAGCTCTCCTGTTGATTCGCGGATCCAGCTGGTTGAACCACCTGAGCCTGCAACTTTTCCCTGTAAAACACACAAAAAAAAAAAGCTCAATCACCGCTCGAGAAATCTTGCTTGTAAAGACGAGCAAAGAGGGTCTCTCAAAGTATAAGAAAACGTGGTGAAAAGAGATTTCTTGCTAAGTATTATATTGTTTCTGGGATGTACCTGATCTTCCTTGAAGATGTTCGGCGATCAAGTTCCAATTTTGAGGTCCGAATCTTGAAACAAGATCTTTGAGCTTGGCATCTTCAGCTGGTCTCCAGTGCCCTCTTGCGCAAAGCTTGGTGTGTCCTCCCCTTTTAACGCACAGGGACTGCGTTTTCTGTTCCTCTGCTTCACCTGAAAAAACCAAGACCGAACCTTTTGTCTCGAGTCCTAAAATGCAGCCATTTCTCGCAGTCGGCTTTTGGATCGCCACAAGTTTTTCAGCTCTCTCCCACGAGGGGGTCAGAATCTGAAGACCCATGTCTGGATTTGCAGGCTCTTGGTGGCCCAAATGGCCAAATTTGTAAGAGAGGGAAAGGCCACCCGCACTGCTTTTCAAGTGTTGAATGCTCATTGTCGAGTGAACCCAGAAAGGCTCAGAAGGATCAAACAAAAAGAAAGAAAAGGAAAAGGTTGCTTCTTTAATGAAGATCACAGGAAAGCAACAAAGAGAGGGGAGGCGATTCCTTGAAGGGTTTCCCGATAAACCAACTCTGTTTTCTCTCAAATACACGGCAGAGGACAGAAGGGCCAGTCAAAAAGGAAAATGACAGCAAAATGCAGAAGCAGATTTGCACATTGAAGATCGAGTACGGCAAATGAAAAGAAGGAGAGCGAGGGTGGGTTTGATTTGAAACCAAAGAAAAAAAACCACGGGAGCTCAGAAGAAGAGGAAGAGCACCGAATGGTTTGATAAGCGTGCGTAGATGCTGTGTAAGAGAGAGAGGAGGAACAGAAACTGAAATGAGAGTAACAGTAAGAATGCGTGAAGAGAGAGAGAAGGAGTCACACGATTCTCTCGCACCCTCCCCCTCCCCTCCTCCACTTTATTTTATGGGGGGAGAAATGAGGTCAGTCATTGTCTGCATTATAGAGAGGGAGAGGGAGTGAGAGAGAAGGAGGTGGTTTCGTTTATAAAAATGACAACTTTTCCTCTTTTTCAGAAATGCTTTTTCGGGCGAAAGAAAAAGAAAAGAGCTCGAGCCGTTTCATGCAAAGTAGAGAGAACCGCTCGTGTGGATGGGTCAGGTTCGTTCGTGGGTGGGTGTGGTCTTCGGTCTTCGTGCCCTCTCTCTCTCTCTCTCTCTCTCTCTGGTTCTGAGGAAGACCAGAACTTGCTTGTCTGTTTGCCGAGGTGTCCTCTTTTTCTGGCCCTTTTGCTTTCCATGGAGGTCTACAGCAAAACCACAATCTAGCAGTTACTTCATCTTACCTAATATATAATTTACTGTCTAGTCCAGACACGAATGAGTCATCATCATCTGGTTTTTGGGTCAGTTAATAATGGCTTATGGTAAAAGTTGCCTGCTTTTTAGTTTTTCTGCACCATCATTCGTAAAGGTACTTCTTAAAACGCACTATCGACGCGAGGCTATGCCTTTTGACGGGTCATTACATGAGCCTGATGCATCTGCTCCTAAGCAGCGCGAGTAAATGCCAAATCGATTACATTTGCCCATATGTCTTGAACGATGCTACTGTCCTGTCTTCAAATCTTCAGTTGCTATCGAAGTTATTTTATGGAAAAGCTATGTTGATATGAGGAATATGTATGCTACTGTCTTGTCTTCAAATCTTCAGTTGCTATCGAAGTTATTTTATGGAAAAGCTATGTTGATATGAGGAATATGTACAAGTAGGGTTTAGGCATTTTTACGTGACGCTTAATATGAATCATCTTATATCTTGACATTAAAGTATCTCGTGTTTTTTGTTTGTGTAGCTTATATAGCTTGATGTTTTCCCTCCACCTAATAATTTAAACTAATTTGAATATAATTCTTTGTTTACCAAGAGAATATTGCTTCTGATAAAGTCGAAATAGTTCTTCTCCTTTCTCGGAATATTTTCAAAACATTACATGATTTTGTCCGATTGTATGAAATTATAATTGATTTTCTAATGTCGGTTATATCCTAAGTTAGCTAGTTTCCTTGTGGGATCACTTCCTTTCCTTAGTAGTATATTGCTCGAGTATAAATGCTTCTTAAATGGGACAATAATTCATCCAAGTAATATACAATGCCGTCTTCTCTATCATTTCGACATCATTATCAGATCTAAATTTCGAGATGTTGATAGAAGAGATTTGATAACTTTTACATGGTATAAATGCAAGAAATACCGGTTCGAAAAATTTCAGAGAACTCTCATTTTTTACTACTCATTGAAACTTAACACCTGATTTTCAGGCTTTGGACTCAGTAATTGTTCTTCCTCTTTTTTTGGCCAAGAGCTCACTTTTTAGTTGATAGGTCATGATTCCAGTTTTCTTTTTCCATGTCCTTCCAACAACTGAATATGGATGGAGATACTCTAAACTTGCCTTTTGATTATGAAATGCTTCTCAATGATTGCCTTTCTTTTGTTCTATACCTTCGTGCATGAAAAAACGTGCTTAGATTTTGACCCGTGTCTTATTTTTACCCGTCGATCTCAACTATACCCTTGATTAATTAACAGTATTGACAAACCCAAATTCATATAGATGGTCCATACGCCTCCAAAATGAAATCGAAGACATTAGCATGCCTCTGAGTTCGCGTCCTTGGATTATAATAGAGATGTTTAGAAAATGAATATCACCTATAGAACTTTGCTGACAAATTTCTCTACCAAAATAGGAAAAACACTGGGGCGTGCACGTTAAAAACGAAAGAAAGCATGGGCCTGGAAAACACAAAGAAAAACTGGAAAAATTGTTGGGGAATGGGCAGAAGACATGACAACTGACTGAGGTACAAGGTGAGAGAATGGAGACCAAACGTAGGTTATTAATCGGGAGGTGGTGGTGTTCGGGTCTTCACGCAGAAGATGAGAGGGTGATGAAATGATGGTTGCTTGTTTGACTGATGAACATCGGTTTCTGTTCTGCAGTTGCAGGTATTCTGGGAACTGGGAAGCAGCAAATGCATCATTTTATATATAATAAAAATATATATTATATATGTGTCTATATATTTTTGATTTTTGAATCTCTTCTTGCACGCCAATGCTGTGCATTTCCCATTTCTGGCAAATTTCGTTAATGGAGTTTACCAACTCCCATGTTCATATTTTCAGTGCCCACATGAAGGGTCGGTGCAAGCAGCTCCTAATCCTGTTCTTTTCTTCTGTTATTATTGTTATTATTTTTAGGTGGATGTTTAATTAGGCTGAATACATTTCAATCTACTAGAAAAAGAAAGCTAATCTTTATTTATTTTCGAACCAAATTTCGTAAATGCGCAATGTTAAGCAAGCAACATACATTAAAATTGCAAATATGTTCTTTCCTAATGAAGTAAGCAAGAGCTTTTCATGAATTTTTGAAAGGAGAATTTTAACCATGGAGTTAAAAATAGAATTGAGTTTGATCTTTCAGTCTCTTCGCTTCATAATCTTACACCACCTTGGGATTTTCTTGATCAAACCTAAAGTTAGGCAGGCTCAATGTAAAGAGTAAAAGATGGTCGAAAAGAAATCATGTAAGGCTATAAATACCATAAATTTAAGAGAACTTCCAGTAGTATGATATATATATATATAAACACTTAGCAACAATTTGTCACAAATAAGATTTTTTTATATATCTTCGGAATACGTTGGTATCATCCCGATGTCTTATCAACAAATCCCTTAAGAAAACGCATGAATTCATTTGATTCTTGGTAAGTTGGATAAAAAAAAATTATTATGGAACCCCTCCTTTCGGGAAGTAATCCATACTAGTTCACCTCAGGAGCAATGCGAGTAATGAAAGACCCGTCTACTAAATTTGGTAATATTTAACGTGTCCATCAGCTATTATTACCGACAGCTATTTTTTTGGTCAGAGCTTTTTTTTTTGTCAGTAGCTATTTTTTTTAGGATTAACACCACGAAAAACTCTAAACTGGTACATTTGTGACACATTTACCTCAAACTATTTTTTTGACCATAAAAAACCTCAAACTGGTACACACGTGACAATTTTATCCTGAACTATTTTTTTGACCACCAAAAACCCCAAACTGGTACACCTGTGACAATTTTACCATGAACTTACCACAAAAAACCCCAAATTGGTACATATGTGACAATTTTACTATGAATTAAAATTTTAATATTTTTATTTTTATTTTTTTCGAATTTTTATTTATTTTTTATTCTTTCTTTTTTTTTCATTTTCAAACTCTGGCTGGTCGTCGGTCCGGCGATTGGCGGAAGCCGGCAAGGGCGACCCTCGCCTGAGCCGGGCGAGGGGTCGCCCTTGCCCTGGGCAGGCGAGGACGGTCCTCGCCTGACGCAGGCGAGGGTCGCCCTCGCCAGATCCGGCAAGGGCGACCCTTGCTTGCGTCGGGCGAGGGCCGCCCTCGCCTGAGCCGGGCGAGGGGTCGCCCTTGCCCTGGGCAGGTGAGGACGGCCCTCGCTCGACGCCAGCGAGGACGGCCCTCGCCGGACGCAGGCGAGGGTCGCCCTCGCCAAATCCGGCGAGGGCAACCCTCGCCCGATACCGGCAAGGGTCGCCCTCGCCGGATCTGACGAGGGCGGCCCTCGCCTGACACCGGCAAGGGCGGCCCTCGCCGGCTTCCGCCTCTGGCCGGTCGCCGGACCGGTGACCGGCCAAAGGTTGAAGGTGAAGGAAAAAAAAAGAAAAAAAGAAAAAATTCAAAAAAATTCAAAAAAATAAAAAAAATAATATTAAAAATTAGTTCGGGGTAAAATTGTCACATATGTACCAGTTTGGGATTTTTTGTGGTATGTTCGGGGTAAAATTGTCACAGGTGTACCAGTTTGGGGTTTTTTATGGTCAAAAAAATAATTTGGGGTAAATGTGTCACAAGTGTACCAGTTTAGGGTTTTTCGTGGTATTAACCCTTTTTTTTAAGTTAGTAAGCACTTTTATGCACCCGACGTGATTCTACCATATCACTTAGGCTCCGTTCGTTTGGCGGAAAATATTCTCCTTTTGGAAAATATTTTTCCGGAAGTCATTTTCCTGGAAAATGTTTTTATGACTTCCTGGAAAATGTTTTTCCGGAACATAATTTTTCGGTGTTCGACGACCAATATGAAAAAGTTTCGGAAAATATTTTTCGCCGGCGGCCGGTGACCGGCGGCGACGGCGGCCGGCGACCGGCGGCGGCGGACGGCGGCGGCGGCCGGCGACCTTAGTGAAGAAGAAGAAGAAGAAGCTCCGGAAAATGATTTCCGCTTTTGAAGAAGCGGAAGTCATTTTCCATAGACTTAGGCTATTTTGTGAGGGGGGAAGGAAAATATTTTCCCACGGAAAACGTTTTCCGCCCCCCGAACACCGAAAAACCCGGAAAATTTTTTTCCGGGAGAATATTTTCCGCTAAACGAACGGAGCCTTAATAGGAAACAAATTTACTAGTGAGGTATTAATGTGTTGGACTAATACTACAAAAAACCAAAAACTGATACACCTGTGATCAATTTACCTTACATTAATTTCCGTTAAATTTTATCATTAAATTGCTAAGTTGGATGACATGTGACAATTAACGGGTATACTGTTTTAGGGTTTTATCCATTTGTTTGTCACAGATTTACCAATTTATGATTTTTCGTGGTATTCATCCAGTTTAACTGTAACACCCCGGGTCTACACTGTGTAATATTGTCCGCTTTGGGCCCACTGACCGTCACGGCTTTAAAACGCGTTGTCTTGGGTAGAGGCGCTCTCTGGCCCTTCCTCCCCCAAGCCCAATATTGTCCTCTTTGGGGCGCTCTCTGGCCCTTCCCCTCAAGGCTTTGTTCTCATCATGCGCAGCGGAAGCAAGCCCATGTGAAATGCGTTACACAGGATAGGCCACCCAAGCCTTATAAGCAACCCCAGGACTCCCCCCCTAAGCGATGTGAGATAGAGAGATGCCTCCCTTGCCATC